AAGAAAAAGAAGAAGGAAGAAGAAAAGAAAAAAAAAAACATGGATGACTAGTGGCGCCCAATCAGTGCGTCACGTCACAGTTAACGGGAGACTTAACAGTTTGACTAACGGATGTATAAGACTGTCCCAAAATTTACACTTTAGTTATGAATCTAAGATGAAAAAAATTTGATGTACTAAATATTAAAAACCACGAAACATAAGAGTAGTAAATAGTCTTTTACCCTATTTTTTAATAACAAATCGTTGCTCACAGTTAAGGTTTAGTGGTATTTTTTATGCACTGAGAGGTTTTAGTTGGATGGTATCCTTTCCCTCTTCCCAATCCTCTTTTCGTTTTCTTTCTCTTTCTGTTTGGCGTCTAGAAATTAATTTAAATGCAGTTGGGTGCAAAAGAAGCAGTTCCTGAAGCAACTCTTTGAATTCAATTCACAAAGGCGGAGACTTGGCTTGTTCACAATATTTGAGGTTTTAATTTGATTCAATTTTTTGCTTTTATTTCTGTAGCAATAGGAAGTCTTAACATGGGTTTCTATCTAGTTTGAAGGCTTGAAAGTGAGGAGAAGAGTATAATGGAGTTTTGTTATGGCTTGTTTTTGTGGTACTAGTTTCGTTCTAATTGAAATTTTAGGTGGAATGGAAAGGAGCTCAGCAGCACGTGTGATGGAATGGAGCATCGAGCTAGAGAAGGCCCTGCGCTCCAAGAAACCAGGGAGCTCACTCGAAGCCATTTCAGAAATCAGTGCAAGACTCCAACGGTTAAGCAGAGAGCCAGAGCCTTCTCCAGCTGTCCACCATCTGTTCGACCTAATTCCTGGTGAGGGCAAGCTCTTTTTAAATGCCATCATCCTTCGTCTTGCCAATGCTTTCGAATGTGGAGACAAGCATGTAAGGCTCTGTATTGTCAAGGCTTTTCTGTTTGAGTACCGGAAGAGGAACAAAAGGGAAGAGTATAACGGAGTTTTGTCCAAAACTCGGGTTTATAATTATATCCAGGCAGAATTGCTGAGGATGGTTAAGCTTGTGTTGGACAGTGGGGATGTTGAGGATAGGGCTTTGGCTTTGGGTCTGTTCGGTTGCTGGGCACATTTTGCTAAAGAGAGTTCGAGCACACGCTACTTGGTGCTTTCTAGTTTGGTTTCCTCACACGTTATGGAGGTAAAAGCGTCGTTATTTGCAGCAGGATGTTTTTCCGAGTTATCAGAGGACTTTGCATGCGTTGTCTTGGAGATGCTACCTCGTATGATGACTTCACCAGAAACGTCACCTGCTATAAGGTTGGCTGGAGCACGAGTGTTTGCCAAACTTGGGCGCTCACATGCTCTTGCAAATAATGCTTACAAGGTTCTTCTGCTACTTTATTATTTGGCCTCAACTCTGTTGGGAATTGTTCTTTTAGAGTTTTAGTTCTTTACTTGTGTACAATGTTTTGATGTTTGCTTAACACTGCTTTATTTCAGACTTGCCTAAAGCTTCTGTTAGAGTCCGCAGATGAGGATTGCCAGGTTGCAATGCTGGTTTCTCTCTCCAAACTGGCTTCCAGGTCAACCGTTCTTATATCTCAGCAGGTAATTGTTTTTGGTAGCATATTCTTTCAAATTTCTTGATCCGTAATACTCATTGGCATCTGAATGCAGGTGGACTTGCTTCTCTTGTTTCTTAGCCAAGAAAAGCCTCTTCATCTGCGTGCAACGGCAGTAAGAAGCCTGCATTTTGTATACAGTCAAGGAATGTGTCATTTTCCTTTAAATGCATATCTTGTGAGAGCGTTATTTAACATACTAGATGAACCTCAAGTTCCGTCACCCATGCTATGTGATGCACTGCAGACTTTACGTAAGGTTGTTTCTCAGTCCTACAGATTAACTTTTTATTAACGTTTTAGCAATTTATATTGACTCATATGCATTCTGCAGATTATTTCATGTACGGTACCCGATCTACCCCTTGATGTACTTGAATCTTCTAAGCTGTTAAGCGTTGTTGAGAATGCAACTTCATCTCCAATCACGTCTGAGGGCCTGTTAACTTTTTCTGTTTTGGTAGATGTTTCAAGGAAACTAAAGGGAAGTACAGAGATGGGATCTCTTGCACCTCGTTCCTCTCTTCTGCCATCGCATGTGACCTCACTTGTCATTGATCGAATCACCTTGATGGTGAAGCCAGTTTTGGATCTTTGTCAGACTGAGTCTCCAGTGTTTCAACAAGTTAATTGCCTGCTCAATCTTCTTTTCTTTCTAAGTCGAGAATATCCGGATCTGCATGTCTTTGTGTTGGATCAAATACATGTTTTGGTCAAGTCTCTCTCATATATGCATGATAATCAGGTCGTTACATCAGAAGCAGATGCATTTGTTCGTGATAATGTAGACTTGAAAGGAGAAAAAAGCAGAACTATCAGATCAAAGCTTCTATTTATTGTGTACAGATTTTTGGGGGCCTTTCTTGAAAATCTCAGTGAAGCTGGCGCCATTTCCACCAAAGTATTTGACAAAGTGAAGCTTCTGGTTGAACTTGTAAGTCAGAGCAACTTGCTTGAATGTTATACATACACACTTTACTCTTTGTTGTTACATTGTCGAATCATTTGGGATAACATGGTGCATGAGAGTGAGGGAAGTTACAATCTTGATAAGAACTTGGGCATATCTCACTCAAGGGAGCATGAAATTCGTACCATTGAACGTGCAAAGAGGATGCTGACAGAAAACAATAAGTGGCCAGCTTACAGAGTCGGGACTTATGCAGCATGTCAGGGAGCCTGGCTCACTGCCACTTTGACATTTGAGCAGTTAGCATCAATGGTTCATTCGATTTCCTGCTGCTGCTGGATGAGATCATTAGTTCAATTTTCGGATTCTGAGAGGAAACTCATGTTACTGCTGTTGACAAAACAAGGTATAGAGACACATAAATTCGATGTTATACTTTCTAGTAATGATTCAGCTAGTAATATCAGGGAGCATATTAACAGTAGTGAGCTAGCAGCCGCTTACAATGGTCTTTGTTCTTCTTTGGCAACATTAAAAGTTGATGTCAGAATGGGACAACCTTTTTATTTCCAAAGGTGGTTTTTGTCTTTAAGAGCAAATGTGCTTGGAGCAGTGGTGGATATAGTTAAAGTTCTGGAAAACATTCAATTTGACCAGCACGACATTCCCGATAATGGACAGGTTGGATACCTCGTATCCTTACAGAAGTTTACTCGAATATCTGTGCAGTTGAAGAGGCTATCACAAGAATTTGATCTAGTAACAAAATCTTTCATTGACATGGACAGAAAAAGTTCAGGAATCATTTCGGAACTCGCACTATCTTGTTCACTGTTGGCTTTTTGTGCTGGTTTTTCTCTCTACATTCCAAGCCTAATCAAATCTGTTTCCATTAACGGTCTGGGAACAACAGAGAACAACTTAGACTCAATGTTGATACAAAATCTAATTGGGCGGTTGGGGGCTAGTAACCATGAAACCAGTGCAAATCTTTATCTGCTTTTGAATCCAGCTGGCAAGCCCATTGATTGTTGTCACTTGCAGTCCAGAATCCAAGCATGTAAGGTTGGTTCTGAAGCAAAATATATTCTCAGTGTTTGTAGTTATGCGGTTTCAGGGATTTCTGGGTTGAAAAGCAAGGCAAACGGAGTCCACAATGTGGAAGGTCTGTCCCAAGCAACCAAAGACGGCTTACAACTTCTATATAGCATCCTTATGAAATGGATGCAAGTCCCCTTCCGGACTCCCAAGTACTTCTTTAAATTAAGGTATGATATCATTCTAACTCGAACATTCTTTTTTTTCTTTTTGTTGATTTCTCCATGTCCTAGGCCTTTTATTTGAACAGGTGATTCGTACTTTAAGAATCAAGGCGTGGAGAATATCTTACTTTTACTCAATCTTTTAAAGCTTTCATATCATTTTTGACATAGTTGATGATTTGGGGTAAAAATCACCATTTAAAGCATCGACTTTAGGGTTTTAGTCTCGGACTGGTTAATCGTTTAGATAGGATGTTTTAAGTCTGTTTAGCAAGCTCTAACATCATATTGTTAGTTATATGATTTTTGCTTTTCTAATTTCACCACCTTTCTAATGTTTTCCACTGACATAAATTTCAGGCCTTGCCTTGGGTCAGAACTCTTCGCTGTCAATGAAACAAGAAACCCAGATGGAATATACGTCTCCTCGGGCTTCCACTTATCATTACATTTTTGTCTTCAGTTAAGAAATGTGCCACAAGACATCCGAGTCCAGTTGAAAAATTTGTACTGCATGCTGTACAGTGGAGTATCCTTTCAGGAGCCAAGAGGAAGTGGAGAAAACAAGGAGCACAAGCAGGCTTGGGAAGCTGATGACATTGTAGAAATGAATGAAAAGCTGTTGCAGTATGTAACAGAGTGCAGTACGAAAAAAAGTAATAAGCGTCGGAGGGGTAAAAATGATGGCGAGTTCGTGAGTACGTTCGTGCGTTTCGAACTGAACGAGAGAGGGCAAGGGTTCTCAAGTTGCTTGCTTGATGTTTCTGCTTTTCCAGCGGGTTCTTACAGAATCAAATGGCATAGCTGTTGTGTTGGTAGTCAGGGTAATTGTTGGACTCTACCCACTTTGAATTCTGGTCCTCTTTTTACTGTACAAGGGTTATAGATTGAAGTTTTGATGAATTAAGCCAAACATGTAAATAGTGTTGTTCACATATGCACTCAAAGTTTTGTGTTCGTTTTCGACCAAAAAAAAAAGTTGTGTTCGTTCCCTTTTTTGTAATGTCGTTTGTACAAAAAGGAAACGCTAATTGTAACATTGGTTTCTGAAAAATAATTTGATTTTCATTTTACTCATTTTTATCTCTCACACTCTTTTCAAGTTTTAGACGTCGGATCGAATAAATTAAATAAGATCAATGGACAAAAATTAATTAGGATTTGTAAGAGATAAAGATGAGTCAGTAAATAGAACTACCATTTTTCTTTTCTTTTCTGATCAATAAACCCAATAAATAAAAACAACATAATCCGCAAATGATGGATTGCTCTGGTCCGGTGATTAGGACTTTCCTTTTCAACACACTACATAAAGTATAAATTTGTGTATAATAGCACTTTTAATAAAAAATAAAAATAATATAATACAAGAAAAACGCAAGGAAAATGACAGATACAGCCTCAGACCTCAACTGAAAGAGTTCCTCCCAGAACTCCAAATCCCCGCCAAATACAAACGATCTCTCCGTGTGTGATGAACCTCTCGTACGCATGCAAGACATTTGCCCTCACAACCTCCCGTTATTACACTTGCGCCACTGCGGTCCACCTTCCCCTGAATCTCCTCCATTTTCTTCAGCTTGCAGGAACCCACCATTCCCTTTCGCTCGCCGAACAAGCTCACGCCCACATTGTCACTCATGGCCTCCAACAAAACCCTTTCCTCGCCACAAAGCTCATCTCTGCTTATGCACTCTGTGGAAAGCCGACCGAGTCGAAACTCGTCTTCGACTCGGCTACTCTCAAGAGTGTGTATTTATGGAACTCACTGATTAATGGCTATGTGAAGAATTGTGCGTACAATGAAGCTTTTGATCTGTTTATGGAAATGTGCAATAGTTATGTATTGCCGGATGGTTATACCTTGGCGACCATGGCGAAAGTTTCAAGCGAGGTTCGGGATTTGGCAACCGGAAAGTATGTTCATGGGAAGGGTTTGAGAGCCGGGTTTGTCGTGGATACCGTTGTTGCGAATTCTCTGATGTCTTTGTATTATAAATGCGGGAGGATTGATGAGTGTCGGAAACTGTTCGATGAAATGCCTCAAAGAAATGTTGGGTCTTGGAATGCGTTAATAGCGGGGTATACAAGTTCTTTGGATCATGATTTTGATAAGGAGATTTGGGAAATTGCTAAATCCATGGTGATGAATGGGGTGAAACCTGACGGATTTACCGTTTCAAGTCTTTTGCCTATGTGTGGAGGGGATGATATCAGGAAATGGGATCATGGGAGAGAACTGCATTGTTATGTTGTGAAGTATGAATTGGATTTCAAGTGGGGTTCGGACGTTCATCTTGGGTGTTGTTTGATTGATATGTATTCTAGGAGTGATAGAGTAGCTTCGGCCAGACGGGTATTTAACCACATGAAGTGTAGAAATGTTTATGCTTGGACGGCGATGGTCAATGGCTATGTGCAGAATGGAGCTCCTGATGAAGCTTTGGTTCTTTTTCAAAAGATGCAGGTGGAAGATGGGGTACAACCCAATAGAGTATCACTTGTGAGTGTCCTCCCTGCTTGTAGTTCGCACGTTGGTTTAATGGGCGGAAAACAAATTCATGGATTTGCTATCAGGAAGGAAATGAGTCGTGAAGTATCTTTGTGTAATGCTTTAATCGATATGTATTCGAAATGTGGGAGCTTGGATTTTGCAAGGCAAGTGTTTGAGGATGATTCTTTTTCTAAGGATGCAATCTCTTGGAGCTCAATGATTTCAGGATATGGATTACATGGAAGGGGTGAGGAAGCCCTTGATGTGTATAATAAGATGCTCCATCTTGGAATCAAACCCGACACGATAACAATCGTTGGGCTCCTTTCTGGTTGTGGAAGGTCAGGATTGGTAAAAGAAGGCCTTTCCATATATAGCTCTGTAACAGCTGATTTTGGAATTAAACCAACGGTGGAGATGTGTGCTTGTGTGGTGGATCTGTTAGGCCGATCAGGAGAGCTTGATCGAGCATTAGATTTCATCAAAACGATGCCTGTAGAACCTGGTCCAAGTGTTTGGGGAGCCTTAGTTACTGCTTCTGTGTTGCATGGGAATCATGACATGCAAGATCTAGCTTATAGATTTCTTATTCAAGTAGAACCCAGAAACCCTTCGAACTATATTTCACTTTCAAATTTTTATGCATTGTCTAGGAGATGGGATGCTGTAGCGGAAATGAGAAGAATGATGAAAGAAAGAGGTTTAAAGAAGGAGCCCGGATGCAGTTGGATAAGCATTAATTCTGAGACTCATTGTTTCTATGTTGCTGATAAATTACATCCTCGTTCAATTTCAATCTATGAGATGCTGGATTACCTCATCTTAGCAATGAAGGGAGCCTGCTCTTCTGAAGCGTTTGAACATCCAGCGTAGATTGTATCTGATGGGGATAGATGCCAGCGATCGTATTGCAGGTACCATTTAGATTTAGTGATGTAATGATTGTTGTTAGTTGCTTACCATCTTTTTCTCCTGAGAACAAAATCCGAATTTACAAATTTCCTTTTTAGTTTTAGCATGAATCAGGTCTGTTCTAAAAACTCTTATAGGCAAGGCGTATATACAAACTCACTCTAAACAGTTGATCGCGTGACCTCCATGTGAGACGCAGTTGTGAGAAGAGTGTATAAACCCGTTGAATGCAGGACTTTTTCATCTTTTCCCATTGGTGTGACTATCCTAACAAATAGTAATAGAGAGATGAAGTGCAAAACCCTTGTCAATTTGATTAAGTAGATGGTAAACTTGAGAAGATTTTGATTAAGTAGATGGCAACTTGCCTACAAGAAGCCGAAACCCCTTGCAGTTGGTGGCAGTTGGTAGGATTTCTCGTTGCAAATATCCCATCGCTTGTCATATGAGAAATACACAGATTTCCATTGAGAGATTACGTATATGAGCTTGAAATACATTGTTTGCCCCTTCTCCTTCCGGCTTGAGTTTGACACCCTTCAATCCCCATTCCTCACTTCTCTGTTGGCAAGATGGAGCTACAAGCCTACAACCATGTGTTTCTTATTCCCCCATCCTGCATGTGAAGGAGGTAACTTATTGTCTAATACTGGTCTAATAGTAAATTATTGTATACATTTCCAACTAAATAGGAGGTCGCTTGACACCCATTTTATTTTCAATTTTCAGTTTTTTATCACTTTTCTTGAAAATTAAAAACTGAAAACTCGTTCGGTAATTACTTTCAGTTTTCATAACTAAAAATTGAAAACTAAAAACAAAATAGTTATAAAATGGTGGTTAATATTTACACAATGAAATTTCCTTGATAGCAATTTGTGTTCCTCTTTCGCATGCTCACACTTATTCTTGAGGCAGTTGGCCTGCCTTTGTTAATTTGACGGTTGAATCTATATGTACGAAATCCCTGCCAGCTGCTGCTACTGGAAGAATTTTAAACAATTATTGGCCACGAGGGTTTGGCATTAACCACTGCCTAATTCATGTTTAGAGACTTAAAACTTGGTATGATTTTGTCCAGTAATGCTATTCTTACCATGTGTTTATACCACATTGATATACCATCTGATGTGGCTGTCCACATCATTTAAATTAATTAGAATTCTATTTAAATTAAAAATCATTTAATAAACCAATAATTAAAAAATAAATAAAATTAAATGTTGATTGTGGCATACGAGGAGTCTTCTCCTTCCCTGCTTCCCCGTTCAATCCTGCTTTTCTCCCGTTTCTTCTTCCACTACTGAATCAAAGAACTTGCTGGAACGATCTTCCATTTTTTTCCTTGGTGGGGTACTGTCTCTGCTCTGTGAATAGCTCTGGTGTCGTGAGTCTGATTATTTCCATATTTTAGGTCAATAAGAATAGTATTTCTTTCTGTTTTAGACACTTTGTACTGTTTGATTTGATCTTTTTGGCGCCAAGGTAACTTCTTTTCCAATTACGTTAATGGAAGTAGATTACTTGTTGTAAAGTTTCAATCTTTGGTTAAAACGATGGAGATTGGATATATCTATCTAAAGGGTTTGAAAAGTCATTTTGTTTTTGGTGTACCATCGTTTCTTTATTTGGGGGTTTAGTGAAAGCTTTTTTGTGATGTTTAATGTTGTAGAGTTTGATCAGAACTAGTTTATTATGGTGTTGTTAGAAAGCCATCGATATAAATCTTCAATATTTAATTAGGAAAATAAAGATTTGATTAATCCTGAAAGAAAAGAGGGAACTTGGGATTTATCTAAAAAAAGGATATGAAAAATTCGCATTTTTGATTGCCATTCCGATTTTGGTGTTTTGTTTAGTTGGGGTTTAATGCAAGATTTTTGTAACGTTTGATGTGGTAGGGTTTCAATGAAGGTCATAGAGAGAGAAAAGCTTTTGAAAGGCGGGGAAGTAAGCATGTCGGAGAAGTTTTCTTCAACGGAGGTGAAGTTGTACTGGAAGTTCGAAGCGAAGAGAACAATGCAGCAAAAGGATCTCCCTCCAATGGCTCAGAATATTCAGCTCCCAAGCAAAGCAAAGTGGGCTCACCCGCCAAAGCATCAGCTGAGTCCAGCAGTGGGTTCTCTAAGTCAGTCCCAGTGAGCTCCCCTTCACCTGAATTTTCGACAGCCAGTCCTGGTAAGCCTCCCAAGATTCCCACCCGCAATGAGAGTCTTGCTAGGAGAAAGTCACTAAATAGGTCAATTAACTCGAAACCCAAGCCAAGATTTGGTGAACCCTCGGTAGGCATTGATCACAATACGTTTCGTGGTTTGATTATTGTTTATTATGTTCTTTATTAATGCCAAGATGGATCAGAGAAGAATAAACATCTAAAACATTAGAGACCTTATTATCTTAGTATCTATAATTGGCTTAGTTCCTCAATAATACATTAGAGACCATATTAATGGCAAACAAATAAAGAGACATTTTATCACTTTTAGATTAGGCTTTCTGATCACTTTCAAATTAGGTTTTCTTATCACTTGAGAAACTGAACCTTTACAGCAAAGATGAAAGAAATAGTATTTCATATTGTTATATTATTGTGATCGACATTATACATCACTTCGTGTTAGGGATAAAAGATTTTTTGTTGTGGGGTTTGTTTTTTCAGCCATTGCAGTGCACACAATAGAATTAAGAGACTTGCACATATGGCTAGTGTATTTACATTGATAGTGTGGTGTAATATATAAACTTGTATAATTATGTTTTATGTTTTAGGAACAGGGAGTTCTTCTAATGAATTATTGAAGAAGATGATGTAGTTGAAGTGAGTTCTTGTAATGAAACAGAAAGCGATAGGGTTCGTACAATAGAAACTTCTAATGAAAGTATTGAAGAAGATGATGTACTTGAAGCAAATATTTCTTCTAAACATGGATTTCAAATATTTTGTAACAGCAGCCAGTATGCAGACATGTTACTTTTCTAATTCTTGTTGTATATTTCTTCGACATTTGTAATGTACTTATATGTTTCTTTTGCTTGTTCCAAGAAGTCAATGTACAAGTAAAGAGGAAATTTTTTGTTTGATGACATTGAGTGGATAAAGGAGGAGGGGGAGGGCGTCAGGTAGTCGACAGCCGGCACTCCACAGTTACGTCGAATCCTTATGACAATGAATCCAGAACGAAATTGCGCTAAAGCTAGGACGTCACCCGTAAGTGGCGCGCTGTGTGGCCCGAGCACAGTGATAAGTGAGCAAGGGTTCGCTGTATCTCCATCGGCACCCGGATGCAGTGTTAAATGAGCAAGGGGGCCATAGAAACTTCTTTTCGAACGACTCCACTCAAAGTTGTTTGGGAGCATATGCTCCTATCAACTTTACACAGGACACACAAAAGAAGTACTTTGATCCTATTAGACGGGGGATGGTGAAGAAGCTAGGACAGAAGGGTAGAGTTCAAGAGAGTAGAATGCGTTTAGGAACGTGGAATATAGGAACCTTAACGGGAAAATCTATGGAAGTAGTGGAAGTTATGGTGAGGAGAAGGATAAATATTATGTGCCTACAAGAAACTAAGTGGATTGGTCTTAAGGCAAAGGATCTAGAAAACTCAGGGTTTAAGCTTTGGTATTCGGGCACAATTAGAACGAGAAACGGTGTTGGCATCATTGTGGACAAGACCTTGACACAAGATGTTGTAGATGTCAAGAGGGTAGGAGATAAAATCATGGCAATCAAGATTGTAATAGGACAAGAACTCATCAATGTGATTAGTGCGTACGCACCTCAAGTAGGGTTGGATACGAGTTCGAAGGAGAAATTTTGGGAAGACCTTGGAGTCTTGGTGCAAGGAATTGCTCAAACGGAGAAGTTATTTATAGGAGGAGATTTAAATGGACACGTGGGCAGGGAGACAGGCAACTATGGAGGTTTTCATGGTGGCCATGGTTTTGGGGAGAGAAATGAGGATGGGGAAGCTATCTTGGATTTTGCAATGGCATATGATCTCTTCTTAGCCAACACTTTCTTTAAGAAGAGAGAAGAACATGTGATCACCTACAAGAGTGGGTCGTCAAAAACACAAATAGATTTTCTTCTAATGAGGAAAGGGGATCGTATAACTTGTAAGGATTGCAAAGTTATACCGGGGGAGAGCTTGGCTAATCAACATCGCTTGTTGGTGATGGATGTACATATCAAAAGAGTGAGAAAAAAGAACAAGACTTGGAAGTGCCCAAAAGACTAGATGGTGGAATCTAAAAGGAGAAAAACAAGTCATTTTCAAAGAGCAAGTAATCACCCAGTGTGTGTGGGATAGAGAGGGGGAAGCTAGCCAAATGTGGGATTCCATGGCTAGCTGTATCCGAAAAGTAGCAAAAGAGGTATTAGGAGAGTCCAAGGGCTTTGCTCCACACCAAAAGGAATCTTGGTGGTGGAATGAGGAGGTACAAACAAAGGTGAAGGCTAAAAAGGAATGTTGTAAAGCCTTATACAAGGATAGGACCGATGAAAATGGTGAAAGGTATAGAAGAGCGAAGCAAGAGACGAAGAAAGCTGTGAGAGAAGCTAAGTTAGCGGCTTATGACGATATGTATAAACGACTAGATACCAAAGAAGGAGAGTTGGATATCTATAAACTAGCTAGAGCAAGGGAAAAGAAGACAATAGACCTAAACCAAGTGAGGTGCATCAAGGATGAGGATAGAAATGTTCTTGCTACAGAGAACGCGGTCAAAGACAGATGGAGAGGTTATTTTCATAATCTTTTCAATGAAGGACATGAAAGGAGTACTCCTTTAGGGGAGTTGAGTAACTCAGAAGAGTGTAGAAATTACTCCTTTTATCGTCGAATCAGGAAGGAAGAAGTGGTTGTAGCTTTGAAGAAGATGACGCATAGAAAAGCAGTGGGCCCAGACGATATACCGATTGAAGTGTGGAAAGCCTTGGGAGAGACATGTATAGCATGGCTCACTGACCTTTTCAATAGGATTTTGAAAACGAAGAAGATGCCAAACGAGTGGCGAAAGAGCACCTTGGTGCCTATTTACAAGAATAAGGGCGACGTACAAAATTGCATAAACTATAGGGGTATTAAGCTAATGAGTCATACAATGAAGCTCTGGGAGAGAGTCATTGAGCATAGATTGAGGCAAGAGACACGGGTTTTGGACAACCAATTCGGGTTCATGCCAGGGCGCTCAACCATGGAGGCAATCTATCTCTTACGAAGATTGATGGAAAGATATAGAGATGGGAAAAAGGATTTACACATGGTCTTTATAGATTTGGAAAAAGTGTATGATAGGGTCCCAAGAGACATTCTTTGGAGGATTTTAGAGAAGAAAGGAGTACGAGTAGCATATATCCAAGCTATAAAGGATATGTATGAAGGAGCAAAGACTGCCGTAAGAACTCATGAAGGACAAACCGAAAGCTTCCCTATAACTGTAGGATTACATCAAGGCTCATCCTTAAGTCCTTACCTTTTTGCGTTGGTAATGGATGAGTTAACAGGACATATTCAAGATGATATTCCTTGGTGTATGCTTTTCGCAGACGATATAGTGTTGATAGATGAAACTCAGGAAGGGGTAAATGCGAAGCTTAAACCTTTGGAGAGAAGTGTTGGAATCTAAAGGTCTTCGCCTAAGCCGATCAAAGACAGAATATATGGAGTGCAAGTTCAGTGCAAATGGAGGCCAAAATGAGTTAGAGGTGAGGATCGGAGATCAGGAAATACCAAAGAGCGACCGTTTTCGCTACCTAGGATCTATCTTGCAAAAGAACGGAGAATTAGATGGAGATCTCAACCATAGAATACAAGCTGGATGGATGAAGTGGAAGAGTGCATCCGGCGTGTTGTGTGATCGTCGTATGCCACTGAAGCTTAAGGGAAAATTTTATAGGACGGCAATAAGGCCGGCGATGCTGTATGGCACAGAATGTTGGGCGGTGAAGCACCAACACGTACACAAAATGGGTGTAGTGGAGATGAGGATGCTTCGTTGGATGTGTGGGCACACGAGAAATGATAAGATTAGGAATGAGGATATCCGAGGTAAAGTAGGAGTAGTCGAAATTGAAGGAAAACTGAGAGAAAATCAGTTACGGTGGTTTGGACATGTGCAAAGAAGGCCTACTGACGCTCCGGTTAGAAGATGCGACCACGGGACAGAGGTTCATGGCCGAAGGGGTAGAGGAAGACCTAGGAAAACTTTGTAAGAGACTCTAAGAAAAGACTTAGAGTACTTGGATCTAACGGAGGACATGACACAGGATCGAGCACAATGGCGTTCTAAGATTCATATAGCCGACCCGACTCAGTGACTTGGATTTTTCAAGTCTCCAATCGAGAAGTTTCCCCACTCGGGAAATTAAGGGAACACTACCTCAACCTACATGCTCCACTCACAAAGCTTCAAGATACAAGCTTCAACAAAAGAAAAATTCAAAGAACTTAGTGAAGAAGGCTTTGGTGTATTTAACACAATACGTTGAAATGAAACAAAGCTTATTTATTGATATCTCTAAGAAGTTACAAATATGTACATATACACGAGTCAAAATAAACAAACAAGAGGGAGCCTTCACAAAGGTTGCTTAGGAGAAGTCTCAGCAGTCGGCAGAGCCCCAGAAAGAGAAGGCACCGGAGGGGGATCAATCGGTGCCTCAGTACTGGACAACACCCTAGAAGGAGGAGGCATCGGAGGTTGATCATTTGGAGCTTCATTACGCGGTACAGCCCCAGAAGACGAAGGCAATAAATGCCTTTGGAACAAACTCACAAACCTCTGATGATCATGTAAAATCTGACCATCAGATTCCTTCATCTGGTCAAGCTTCCTCTTCATGTTTGTAGCATAGTCATGAGCGAGCCGGTGCAACTGTTTATTCTCATGCTTGAGCCCTCTAATCTCCTGTTTGAGACTCATCACTTCAGCCGCCAATGATTCAACTTGGCGGGTTCGAACAAATAGGCGTTAGGCCATATTAGACACAGAACCTGCACAATGAACACTGAGAGCCAGAGAATCCTTAACAACCAACTCATCAGACTGTTTGGAAAGTAGTCTGTTATCTTTGGGAGTGAGAAGGTTTTTGGCCACCACCGCAGCGGTCATATCATTCTTCATCACGGAATCCCCAACGGTAAGATGACCAGTAGGGGATAAGAAAGATGGGCGCCATATGTTGTCTGGAGAAGGCGTGGCTGCCTCTTCAACAAGGTTCAAGTCAAAACGACGGTCGGAGGGGCCAAACATTTTCAAAGGTGTTGAAGAGAAAAGAGGTCGGACAAATCAAGATCTTAGAAATGCAAGAAGTGAGCTTCTACTGGTGGAGATTCAAGTGTGCTTTGGAACTTAATACCAGCCTCTATAAAAATCCGCACTCGATGGAGCTTCAGAAATCGAAGAGGCGCCTGCTCAGAAATTGAAAAGGCGTTTGCTTTCTCAAAAGCTGGGCTGCTTAGAGACCACGAGGGTCGATCTCAGGAATCGAAGAGGCGTTTGCTTTCTCAAAAGTTGGGCTGCTCAAAGACCAGGAAGGTCGATCGCAGAAATCGAAGAGGCGCTTGCTTTCTCAAAAGCTGGGCTGCTCAGAGACCACGAAGGCCGATCTCAGAAATCGAAGAGGCACCTGCTTTTTCAGCCTTGTCAGCACCTGTCACATGCACACTTAACTTTGCGGAAATTACGGGCATTCTGTCGAAGATTTCTAGTGAAGTAGAAAGCACGTGAATGTTATTGTTCAATCATTCACTTTCCACACGCAACATCAGCTCACGGGTACCACAGATAACTTTGCCAAAAATCTCTGACAAAGTTTAGACACGTGAAGCTTGCAGCTCCCATTACATCGCTATGACCAAGAAGGGTAAAAGAATAGCAAAGAAACAGCACTAACAAAGTTTAGACACATAAATTTTAAAGGTCTAGCTACCATATTATTACCCACAATGGTAAAGGAACAGGACCATTGCTGGATAATTGGAAAGTCCCTGTGGGTCAACCTCTGTGCTCCGTGGCAAGGTAGACTAGCAAACAGGCCTAACCTTTACTCACATTCGAGAAAATACTCCCAACAAGATTGCTTGCTTCAAGATCGAAGAGGCACCGTCCTCCGAATCTCGTGAGCCAGACTCCCAACATGATTACTTTCTCAAAAAGCGACGAGACACCGCTCTCCGAATCTCGAGAGCCAAACTCCTAGCAGGATTGCTTTCTCAAAAATCGAAGAGGCACCGTTCTCCGAATCTCGAGAGACAGATCCCCGACAGGATTGCTTGTTCGAAAATCGAAGAGGCACCGCTTTCTCAACTTCGAAAGCCCCTTAGATAAAGCTTATCTGTAATCCTCACACCGTTTTCTCAACTTCGAGAGCCAGATCTCCTTGGATAAAGCTTGTCTGTAATCTTCACACGTAACATCAGTTTTCCAGATACCACAGACCACTTTTTCAAAGTGCTCTGACAGAGTTAAAACATGTGAAGCTGGCAGCTCCCACTACCGTGCTATGACCAAGCCGGGTAAAAGAATAGTATTACTCCTTGTTAGGGAGACTCTTATATATGTCGACCTCCATCCTCAACGGACAGGCAGACCTGCAAAAATGCTCAACCCTTCCTCATATCTGAGAGGGCACTCCCAACGAAGCCTCTCGAAATACTTAGCTTTCTTTCCCCCCGAGAATACCTCTGCAAACAAGCTACACTAGAGCAAGAATATCTCATATCATCAGGGTTAAAAGCAAGAGTATCCAATATCATGCTTTTTCCCTGTCTTTTCCTTTGGCCTTGTTCTTACCTGCAAGACAAGGAGAAAGAAAGCAATCAGTCAGCACTTGGAATCAAGCTTCCAGTCCGGAACTGACTGCCTGGAACCCCATTGCTCTCGAGTACTCATCTTCAACATCTTATGCTTCCCGAGAAGATACCACATCTGCCTGAGGAACAAATAGGGCAAGTGAGAATGATACAAGGAAGCATGTGGAGACAAGCGCAACAGAACACATGCCGATACATCCACTACTTTGTCAACAGCAAAAGTATCCCATATCAGCAGGGTCGAACGTACTCTAGATTTGATGGACTTGTTTTGACCCTCAAATTCTTCAGTCGGCCTTATACTCTGGTGGAAACAAGAAAACCCTCCAGCCCAGTTCAAGAATAAGCCTGTGGAAAGTTACTTCTTCAAAAGCAAAAGTATCTCATATCACCTTTTCTCCTTTTCTTCTCTTTATCCTTCATGCTACCTGCAAGATAAGGAGAAGGATAACAATCAGCCGGAACTCGAAATCAAACTTCTGATCTGGGACTGATTGCTTGGAGCTCTGATTGCTTACCTTGTCTGTCACCTCTTTCAGCAGATCCCCTAGCTCGGCGACTTGGGGGACTCCTACTACATGGTTTGTATCGCGCTTGACCAAGCCTGAAACTACTAGTAAGCGTCAAGTGAAATTGATACATTACCTTGTGCATCTCCACCAATTAAAGATACCACCCCTGAAGGGAGGAAGAGTACTTCCAAAGAAGATGCCACATCTACCTATGAGACAGATAAGGCAAGTGAAGACGATACCACACTTTGGTACTTAAAAGTTTCGTGATTACGAGATCATTCTTCCACAATATTTCCTAATTTCATTTGTACTAAATCATTCACTTGTACTCACTAAAGGAGAGCTTGAACCTATATACTGTGTAAACCCTTCACAATTAATGAGAACTCCTTTACTCCGTAGACGTAGCCAATCTGGGTGAACCACGTACATCTTGTGTTTGCTTCCTGTCTCTATCCATTTACATACTTATCCACACTAATGACCGGAGCAATCTAGCGAAGATCACAAACTTAATATTTAAGATGATATTCTTTGGTGTATGCTTTTCGCAAACGATATAGTGTTGATAGATGAAACGCAGGAAGGGGTAAACGCGAAGCTTAACCTTTGGAGAGAAGTGTTGGAATAAAAAAGTCCTCGCCTAAGCCGATCAAAGACAGAATATATGGAGTGCAAGTTCAGTGCAAACGGAGGCCAAAATGAGTTAGGGGTGAGGATCGGAGATCAGGAAATACCAAAGAGCGACCGTTTTCGCTACCTATGATCTATCTTGCAAAAGAACGGAGAATTTGATGGAGATCTCACCCATAGAATACAAGCTGGATGGATGAAGTGGAAGAGTGCATCCGGCGTGTTGTGTGACCGTCGTAGGCCACTGAAGCTCAAGGGAAAATTTTATAGGACGGCAATAAGGCCAGCAATGCTGTATGGCATAGAATGTTGGGCGGTGAAGCATCAACACGTAGGTGTAGTGGAGATGAGGATGCTTCGTTGGATGTGTGGGCACACAAGAAAGGATAAGATTAGGAATGAGGATATCCGAGGTAAAGTAAGAGTAGCCGAAATTGAAGGAAAGAGGAGAGAAAATCGGTTACGGTGGTTTGGACATGTGCAAAGAAGGCCTACTGACGCTCCGATTCGAAGATGTGACCACGGGACAGAGGTTCAGGGCCGAAGGGGTAGAGGAAGACCTAGGAAAACTTTGGAAGAGACCCTAAGAAAAGACGTAGAGTACTTGGATCTAACGGAGGACATGACACAAAACCGAGCGCAATGACGTTCTAGGATTCATATAGCCGACCCCAGTTAGTGGGAAAAGGCTTTGTTGTTGTTGTTGTTGATGACATTGAGTGGATAATGGAGGATGGCGGCCTAATATGAAGTGTATCGTTGTAATGGATGGTCTGATTCACTATCTGCGTATTGCCATCATTCTTCATGACCATTGTATTACTGTTATGGAGGTCTTGAATTGTATCAATTATGATATTCCCATAGGAGGACTTCACCCATCCAGTCGATGACACATACCTGCCGACCCTTGTCAAAAATGTGCCATTTAAACCCTTGAAATCCAAAACCAATGAAACAACAAGGAGCAAGCTACTATGCTTTGAAAGCTCCCCTTCAGTTTTCGTGCTCCGCTTGTCCAACCAAAGATGCAAATTTGCGTCAACGAACCAATCATTCAAGGCATTTGTGACAGTAAAACCAAACTTGCGGCTCTTCCCTAAAAAGGCCGTGATTTCAATATCATAAGAAAGGAGATTGTACGAGCTAATTGCAGTAATTGGACTCCACAGGAGGGGATTGAACCCTCCATTGAAAATCACAGTAAAAGGCCAGATAGCACCAACAACCTTACCATCTAAACTCACCACAACCTCCCTAAAAAGCCCGTTTCCAGGAGTACCTCTAAGATTGTTTGCAGTAATGTACTCATTTGGAGCGTTTGAATACCAAAACCCATCATCATTCAAAGGCAGATTTCTCTTAATGGGCAAGATCAAATCCGCCCAATAATGGAACCCAGAATCCAAATTTCCCAAATTTTGCTCATAGTTATAATTCAAATTCTTCTCAGCAGGGTAAAAATGGATGCTAATATTCACATGGTAAATCCCTGTGTATGTTTTATCTACCAAATTCCCAAGATAATTTGATTGTTCTGAAGCAAAGAATAGTACCTTGTGATGTCCTTCTTGACACTCCAAACAATCCCATTCTGCGTTGGCTTAGTCGTACAGCTCCTGAGAAGCTCAATGCCGCTGAGCCAAACCCCGAAAATCCGATCATTGGTAGTCCACTAATCAGACTCACCACACCAGAGCTATTCACAGAGCAGGGACAGTACCCCACCAAGGAAAAAAATGGAAGATCGTTCCAGCAAGTTCTTTGATTCGGTAGTGGAAGAAGAAACGGGAGAAAAACAGGATTGAACGGGGACCACAATCAACATTTAATTTTATTTATTTTTTAATTATTGGTTTATTAAATGATTTTTAATTTAAATAGAATACAGATTAATTTAAATGATGTGAACAGCTACATCACTCCCCTACCCTATCACGCATGACAGAGGAATGTCGCAAGTGACAAGTGCCGCACTCGTTCCCAAATTCGAAATAATTTTGTGACAATGTGTTGTATCCATATGTATGCTACTAGTACTGTATGTCACACAGAAGGTCGGATTTGGATCCCTTCCGGGATCCTCACATTCGTTCATCATACATATTTGAATTTTTTTTATATTTAAAATTAAATACAAACAGTACGTAATGAAAGCTGACCGCACAATATACAATGAACGGATAGGATGTGAGAATCCTCACAAAGATCCTCATCCCAGAATGTCATGTCATTTTCTTCTTTTCTCCAACAAAACAAGACACTCCTAGTTTTATAGAAAAGGAAGTAGGAGGCTAGAGTTCGCCCGAGTCTTATCCCCTATTTATCCGAAATATTATGTGCCTCACCGACGAACGGTCTTGACAGTTTTGCTCAGAGTACCGATCGATCGGGCTCTCTATTTTTTGCCTTTTCCTGGCTTTCTATTCGATGCTCTTCCAATTTCACTGCATTGCACACATTTTCTTCCGATTTTCACTGCAATTTTACTAGAGATGCCTCATTGCTCTTGGGAGATTTTAGTCGGACATCAAGTACCTCATAGCTCCGCAACTCTTCATTTCTTCCGTTCCCTCTTCGTCCTGTGGCAAGAGCCCAACACCGATGACATGTACATTTGCGCTTACTAAACCTGTATTATGACAAACTGATTACTTTTCTGACAGGTAAGCACAATTTAACATGAGGCAACAACTTCCGCCTTCTAAGTCGTCTGAGTGTACAAGGAAAATGAACACCACTAAGGCAATCCTAGAGTCCTCTTCTTCTTATCCTCCACTCCCCCGGCTCTCTCCAAAATATACAGATTCTCCCTCAGGTACACACGCTTTCATTTTCAAACCTCTTGCTATCTGAAATAGAATGCAATCGTACAAGTTGTTCTTTCACTCTTCTCCCTCTGATTCTCTCTCACGTCTGTAGATAAATACTGAACCATACACTACTCGACCGACCCTTCTATTTTTCTGACTTCTTCTACTGAAACCTCTCTTCCTCTCCTGCCTAACGACACCTTCTGACATGGGTAAAATATAAAGCCATCCTAAAGGCAATAAAGCAGCAAGGAATTGTGCCATAATCCCAAAGGGCAGGCTTGAGTAGTTGCCTGCCGTTATTCCTATCAGAGAAGCCAGTCCAACACCTAAAACCCCACTAGCTATCGACGATAAGCACAGGGCTGATGCTAAGAAAGAAGTTAGAGATCCTTCACATCCCTGAGGACACAGATTAGCAAATAGTACTGTGAAAGGCAAGATCTTGAACTGTGCAATAGTCTCTGCTAACCCCGAAAAACAAAGAACAAACACCTCATTTGGAATCCCCAGTCTGACATTGATCCGTCTCACTAAAACAAGGTCAAGAAGAAGGGAAAAGGCATACACCAGCTGAACAACACCAACCAACTTTCTCATCGGAACTTTTTTCCAATAACGGTCATAAAGTACAGCAGTGGAAAGAAGCATCAACTGGCCGATCACTCGAGACATGCCAATGATTGAAGGATCGAGATGTAGATATTGTGTTTGGTAGCAGAAGATGGAACCTGAGAGGACTGGGACCATGGCAATAGAAGCTACAATCCAAATAAGAGGGCGAGCAATACTTTCCTCTTGAATTCCCATCTGCAGCTCAGAAAATTGTTTTCTGATACTTTCAAAGATTGGTTTTCGTATAAGACTGTTATCTGGCAATTGTGGTAAACCGAGAGATTCCTCTCGTATTCTCAATGAAATTGCAAGCTGAGCGGAAAGTAAAACTGCAAATACGAGAAACATGGTTCTGGGCGGTGTTTTCATCAAGAAATATCCACCTATTAAGTTACCAAGAATTCCACCAGCAGCTGCTGCCATGAATGCATAAGACTGGAGGCCAGTCATATTTTTTTCTTGGCCATACTCTGCAACAAGAGCATCCTGTGCTACTTCCATAATGGACGCTCCGAGATTACTCAGAAGAACGCATGCCATGAGGGTAGGAACTGCTCGAGCTGCAACAGGGATCAGCGCCATTGGCCCCCAAGACAAGACCTGTAAAAGAACTGACAAGTTCGAACTCCATCAGATTCTCCCATGAGAAGTTGTTCAAGCCATCAGTTATACCCAAATCCGAGAGGTCTCACATAGCAAACAACATTTTTTTTTTAATTTGCCTTTTCCAAACCCAAATTTACTACATTCTAATCGATACATTGTTTACCCCATTAAACAGTGTTGTTAAGCTTAAGCCAGTTTTCAAAGGAATTACAGCATAAAAGTAGTAGAATTAATGAAACTTGTACCGAAAAATTTGTTATATTAGGAACCAAAAATCTTTCTTATATTAACAATCTAACTTTTACTTCCGATTGTCAATCAAACAAATTTGCGAAGGCATCAGGCAAATAGAATCTACAGCATAACCAAGCAAAGGAAAGAACAAAAAGTACAAGAATACAACATAAACCACCATAAGGAAGCCTTCCTCGTTACGGATTCGAATAAAAGTGCACAAATAATATAACCTTACATCGACAATGCATCTTCAAATTTAACATAACTCTGTAAAATGAACAAAAGAAAAGTAGGAAACACAATGAAATCAGACCGAAAACCACAAAGGAGATAAGGCAAGAAAATTTGAACTGACCTCCAATGGAGATATAAGGAACTCTATGAGCACCAGAAATGTAAAGAGCATCAGAGAGGACTCCATACAAGGGCTTGGCCACCATGGGAAGGTTAGCAGAATGCTGCACAAGCTGCAATGTGGAAGGATCCATTTGCAGATTGTGGGCCATGTGGAAGTTGAGAGCCAACCATGGAAAACACCTGAAACCCTGCATCCAGTACCCAAATCCACACAGAAACAACATTTGCTGCCTACCCAGTTGGGGAAATCGAAAGCCTCTCCTTTCCTCATGGCTGCTGCTTCTCCTGGATTTTCTGTAAATAATTTGAGTTGCTGGGTTTGGCAGGATTGGGTTTCTGATCTGGGTTTTGGGTTGGATGGGTCCTGCTGGGTTTAGGCGGTGAAAACAAAGGATGGGGTTTCGCTGGAAAGGAGGTTGCTTTTTTGGTGGGGGTTTTGGGGTGATTGACAGTGATGATATCCATGGATTTTCAGAAGAAATTGATGAATAAATCATGATAATTACTAATAATATCAATTGGGTACTTGAAAAAAGTGAGAAAAACAAGAAAGAAATGGAATGAAAGTTGCTATGATTGTATGGAGTTTTTATTGAAACAACGATGGAAAGTAGAAGTGTGGTTACCTATCAATATATATTCTTGTATAATTATGTAAGCTGCCATTGAAGATGGATTGCTTTGAGAAGAAGATAGAAGAATATGCTATTTTGTTAATGGAGACTAGAGAGATCTAGAAACGTGTTATGTATCACTCAAATCATTTTGCTTTGAACAATCCAGTGTGGGAGGGAGAGAGTGAAGACAATGCAGAGTATCTGACCTATCAGCTCAATTGAGGCTAATACCCTTTGGTTTTAGCGGTTGGTTTGTCTTATAATGCTTGTCTGGGCGCATTTATGCTCGCGTAATATTAATCATCTTACTTATTATTATTGAATAAATTAAATTTTGAAATTTATGTCTATTCAGTATAATGTTCTCAAAATGTAAACTCATTTAATGTCACCATCACTTAATGATGGTAAGCAAAAATATTTTCATATTTTCTTGATTTTTTTTCAGGTTTAGAGGAAGAAAATTAAGGGGTAGGATAGTCTAACTAATTGGATCGTAATGCTCTCTTACATGTCACTATTAAACAGTTAGAATTGACATATGTACAATTCTCAATGTATACGATCTATTGGCCAGCTCCCATGTTGAATGTGTGTTTTAGAGAGAATGACTTACGTGAAAATAAGACACTAAGTGACAATACCTCATAACAATCTTACGAGCTTATATAAAAAAGTTAAAACTCATAACAAAGCATAACAGGATTAAAACGTCATTAATATAGCGTCGAGATTCAACTGCACACGCGCCTATAAACGACACATGTGAGTCCGAGGAAACAGGGACGAATACAGGATTGGTGAGGGTGGGTTGGGGTCTCACATGGAGATTTGTTTGGAGTCAATTTCTGGGACAAGGATTGTCTGCCCTCCTAGTTGTGGTGCTCTTCCATGCCCTCCTATTTTATGCGGTCACGGTTAAGCCACGTCAATATTTTATATTTTTATTATTTTTATTATTTTTTGTCTTATTATCTCATTAAAAAATTAATATAAAATATTGACGTGGCTTAACCGTGATCGCACAAAATAGAAGGGCATGGAAAAGCACCACAACTAGGAGGGCAGACAATCCAAGTCTCAATTTCTGTTCCAAACACAGCGGATCTGAGTAAAAAGCATTGATTGGAAATTTGGGACTGCATATGAGGTGTTGGATCCGTATATGACCGTTCGTTTATGCGCAACTGTTGGGAGTTTCACACGCGCGGTTGTACTTCACGACGTCGGCAACATCCGTGTGTATGGTCGACTAGAGGAACAAGCGCGTGGGGTTCCTAATCAGGTGCATTTTGTTTGGCAGTATATGCAATATGGGATGTGTAAAAGTTTTCCTTTCTTTAATGATATTCTTTCAAAATAAAAAATGAATAGTTTTATATTTTAATATCGTAAATGACTAATTTAAAATTAATTTATTCTCATCAAAGGCTTCAATGTCATGTTCGTTCATTCATTTTTGGATTGTAGTTGACTATAGGGGTGGGCACTTGGAACCGAAAATTGAAACAGAAACACGAACCAAATTGAACCGCACCGAATGGTTTGGTTTTGCAATTTTGAAACGGTTTCGGTTTTGAAACCGAACCGCAAAGTAGGAAACGGTTTGGTTTCGGTTTTGGCTTTTGAAAACTGCACCGAAACCGAAACCGCATAACTTTATTAAATGTTAAATTCTAATTGGCTATTTCATTGAGTCCATACATTTACTATGGACTCAACCTCATCATAATATTTCCACGTAATCTCTATCTTTTATTTCTTCTAGTCTGTATTGCTCAACTTTATTCATCTAAGCTTCTAACTCTCTCTCTCTCGGCCTCCCTTTCATTCCAACTCCTAGCCTCTAGAGTTCAGGGTTGGGTTTTGAATCAAAAGGGGATTTGGTTTTTCATTGGTTAGTCTTCAAATTTTCTTCGTTCATGAACATCAGAATGTCAGAATGTTGTTGATTGGTAAATAAATTATTCATACGTATAAACCTGATAAATCAGAGTAAAATTGAATATGATTCAAGTTCACGGGTTCTGCAAAAACAAAAGACAAAATGTCATATATGTTCCTAGATTAGTCGATATAATCCACTTCTTATTAGATTTAAGTATTAAATTTAGCAGATTAAGTATTGATTAGGCTTGTTGTTTACTGGAATGGCCATGCCTTGAAATTTCATTTTCTTTCAATTTTTTTATAAAATGCGAATAATGGGTAGATACTAGATAGGTTTCCACCTAGTTACACCTACACGAATTGAAACCGCCCCCTTGATTAAGGAGATGTTCACATTACTTAGGGCTGCATGTTGATTTCAATCCATGCATCATGATGTGAACTCTCTTGAACTTAAGATTGAATGTGTATTACATGCTTGGTTGTTGACTACAATAAATACTGCTGCATTTGGGCTATCGAAGGATTTGCTTTTAATGTCAAAAGTTTAAACACCAAAACTTTTTTATTGAATTGGATGAAATGAGATACAACTAGGTAACCATAATAGCTTTTTCAAACAATGAAATCAAACCAAAATCGTTTAAAACCAAACCGAACCGAACCAAATGGTTTGGTTTCATTTCGGTTTTAGCCTCAAAACTGCACCAAACCAAACCGCAAAAACTTGCGGTTTTGGTTTTGGTTTCACTTAAAACCGCAACAAACCGAACAACGCCCACCCCTAGTTGACTGGATAATGATCATGGGAAGCAAAGTGAGAAAACAAAAATGGGACATTTACATTTCATTGAAACGGGTGGAACTTCGGGTGGAACTTTTACCAGACATACTTCACATTTTTTTATAACTTTATTTTTTAGCGGTGATTGTTACTTCGCTATTTGACTCACCAATAAAAACTAACTTAGGTTACCCAATAAATACTAAATTTAACATTGTTACTGGTAAACATAAAACAATTTTTAAGTACCCTTTACTCAAGAATGAGCAAGTGTAGCAAGACCATTATTGATTTTCTAAGTTTGCCAATTAATTCTCTTCTAATCAATGTGGTAAGAAATTACAACTCTTTTTTATTTTATAATTTTTCCAATATGGGTTTTGTAACTGAAACTTTGAAATTCTATTATACTTCTATATATCGCGTATTGAATTTTTGTTCGTAAAATATTAATCATTTAATTATTGACTAATAATTTAACGATGAAAATTTCAATACAAAATCCCTTAAAATTCGTGCCATCCTAAGAGCACTTCCACCGGGGGTGGGATAGGCCGGCACAGCCAAAAAAATGGCCCAACACCTAGGGAAGACTCTCTAACCTAGCAGATTGCCTGGCACCCAGCCCAAGCTGGTCTCTAGGCCAACCCAAAATTGACAGACCTTGGGACCGGCCCCTCTGACGCCAGCGTGGCGTCGAAGGGCAATTCAATTTTTTTTTTTTTGCGCCAGGCGCGTGCAATACAAGCGTGCATGGGCACGAGTGGCCGACAAGTTTTCAGATGGGGGCCAACATGCGCAACGCACTCAAACCTCAGTCAGTGAGGCCACGTGGCCCGGCCTGCCCTGACACACCCCGACCGAAGTCGAGATGTGTCGGTCGTCACGTGAGAGTGACGTAGCCATGTGCGCAAAGCGGAAGCAATAAAGAGTAAGGGAATACAAACAATTTAAAACCAAGCAACTAACAATCCCAATTAAGAAAGGATGCTAGTGATAGTTTAAGTGTATAAATACACTTTCAGAGCAATAAGAAAGTCCGGTTGCAGTCAAGTAGGATAATTACTAAAATACAACACCCGAAGGTGAATCCTACTTTTTTGGATTCTGTCAGAACACCGTTGGATTCCTCGTGGCCACCAAACTCTGCTACCTAAGACCTGGAGGGGCGAAAAACAAAGTTGAGTGGGTCAGTAAAACACATTTACACGAAAACCTTATTTTCCTTTGAATATACTAACCCCTCGCCGTAAAACAAGTATATAGATACTTTCCCAAAAAATAGAATACATAAATATGTATATATCTCAAATCATACTCAAATAATCAAGATTCATATTTGTATATATATATGCCATGCGTATGTCATGCCCAATAACATAAAAATACCAAAAGTAAGCCAGGTGATGCAATTCACAATAACCCTCTGCTAGCCGAAGTCACCTAACGTGATCTATACGGCGGAATCTAGAGCTCATCTCAATCATATATCTCATCATATAAATCATCATGTATATACGTCACATATCTCATCATATCTCATCATATAAATCATCATGTATATACATATCTGCACACGAGTCGGAACCACCTCGCGTGGTCTGATTGACAAGACTGGGTGTAAAATAATAATACACTCTAGTGCTACAATCACGTGAAGACTATGCGAATAATCGCGGGTCACCTACGAGTCGGACCCACTCAAAGTGGTCTATACAACAGGACTGTGCACCTAACTTGGATCCAAGATGAGCGTGTGGTGCGGAAGGTGAACATCACGTGAAGGACTGTGCCCCTAACTCTGGGCGGGAGCACTAACACCGGGGTGCAGATTATAAGCTCTAATATACATCTCAACATCATCATCATCATATCTCATAACCATTATCAGCATAATGTACTCACATGTAGCTTACCTGGGCTTCCACAGCACCATGCAACAATATGCATAATTATGATAATGCATATACTAAAATATGAGGCATATATGACATGGCATTTAAATCACATTTCCTTTAAATACGTTTTCTGGGAAAAACGTCATGTGTATATATATATATATATATTGAAAATAATTGCCCACTCACAGATATGCAGCTGGGTCGTAACCCCCATGCCTAGCCTGGCTACGCTCGTCCTCCAGATAGGTCTCGCCTATAGGAGAAGTACTGAAATAACGTTATTTTAAAGCACATATACTAAACTATAGCTAATAACTTCTTATACATAGCTCAAATTGGGTATATGAATATACCATAGTGACCTACACAACCTCAGGATCATCCCCAAATTTTTAGAATATTTTTCCGACCACCCACGCGCCGCCACGAGCCGGCCAAGGCACAGCAATACGCGCCCCCCACGCGCGGCCACCTGACAGGCATACTGACGGCGTCAGTTAACGCCGTCAGGAATATTCTGGGGAATATTTCATCAAATCCCAACGGTAACTTAAAAATAAATGACGGCGTCAGAATATTCTGTCAGACTTGACGGAATATTCCCTCGTCTTCAACCTCTGGACTCCGGCGAGTCACCGGTCACCGGAAAACCGGGAAAACTTCTAATCCTTATATCTTCGTCGT